TTTAGGGTTTAGGGTTGAGGAAGGTGGTTGAGCATTTCGTATTTGGGGCTGTGTGAAGGTTTTGCCAGCATTTTTCCCGTTTATATCAGGGTTTTATAAGTGCTCTTTTCTACACATCTTCATAAGACGGGCGTTTTCACGGATTTGTGAGCTGCTTTCAAGGCTTGATCAGGTAAATACGGGGCCCTTTTCAGGGAGTGCTAGGCTGCTGAACCCCTTAACCCCTAAATCCCCAACAACAACAACAACAACAACANNCGACGACGACGACGACGACAACAACGACGACAACGACAACAACAACAACAACAACAACAACAACAACAACAGCACTTTAAGGAGTAAGCTTCAAGGACGTGGATGTCCTAGCGGTGACGCCGGGGGAGGTTGACACGCACGAGAGAAACTCGGCAGGCGGCAGGTGTAAGTTGGTTCAGGGTCAGTTTAGGTAGTAACTGGATAGCCAAGATGGTCTAGGTTTCATGATGCTGTACTCATAGGTTATGAACCCGTGTCTCCCGAACCCGGGAGCCCAAAACCCAAAGCCCTCACATGTGAATCGTCTAGCCGCGTCTAACCCTCAAACCTCACCGGGGGCACAGGAATAGCAGCTATTTATCAGGTCGTGCTGTCAAGCGGCTTTCTCAATGTTCAGCTACTAATACTATGAGTACTAGTTCTACTAACACTAGTACTAGTACTAGTACTCATACTGGTACTAGTACTAGCACGAGTGCTTCTACTACCACCACGACTGCTACTGCTACTACTGCTGCTGCTACTACTACTACTACCACTGCACCTACTACTACTACTACTACTACTACTACTACCACTACTACTACTGCTACTACTGCTGCTACTGCTACTACTGCTACTACTGCTACTAACTAGCACTACTGACACTACTATCTACTACTACGACTACTACTGCTACTGCTACTGCTGCTGCTACCATTATTATTGCTGCTGCTGCTGCTACCTCTACCACGACGACTGCTACGACGATGACAATCGCAACCACATCCACCAGAAGACTTGGAGAAAGAACTGAAGGCACCACTACTTGCAATATCAAAAACAAGCAAAGCTATGGCAGCAAGAGCCAAGAAAGCTCAACGATGATGCCCACATGAGGAAAGCTCTTAAACAAAGGAGATGCAACTTTGCCGTGCAGGCCTCTTCGTTCACGGCTGGCAGTACTTGGGACAAAGGCATGATGTCATGTGTCCGGAAGATCCCATGGTGCGAAATCGGCGGATTCTCCTGGAAGAGGCTGATACAGTGGCCTTAACAGTTTGATCAGGGTTGTGGGGTTGCACAGTTCACTTACAAGCGTTTATCAGATCTACATGAGTCGGCCGTATGGGGTTTCTGCAGGGTTGTGTGTCGGTTGGGATATTTTTCAAGGTTGTTGGATGCGTTCTTTTAGTTGGGGGTGCCTTCTCGGCGCCGTCAAGAAAAGGATGAGCTTACTCCTCTGAAACCCTGAACCTAGGGCATCAAGAAGCCCTGAAAAAACCCTAAACCCTCAACTGTGTAAACCCTGAACCCAAAACCACGTCCTTATTTCTGGGCAGCTCCGACGCATAGTCCGGGTCTGTACAGAACCAGATAATGAAGCCCACAATATACATATAAATATATATATATATATGTATACATACACATATATATATATATATATATATATATGTCTCGCTCTCTCTCTCTCTCTCTCTCTCGCTCTTTCTTCCCTTATTTGTTTATGTACCTAACCTTTAGAGAATTTTCGTGTTTATGCCTATGTGTAATTTTGAAAGACCTTGAACAAGAGGTCGATTACAGGACCCGGGCTCACTAAGCCCAACCAAGATATGCGATCCAGAAGAGACGGAATTCAGAGCATGCAGGGCTCCACAAGACGACAGAACCATTTGTAAGTCACGTCCCTTGCCGCAAACCCCACCCTCTGGATTAAACCACAAACCCAAAAGGTCCAAGTACCAATATAGTAGCTACTTAGTACATATTTGGGCCCCCAACGTACTTGGACCCCTTCGGATGCACGATCCAAAGGAAGGTGGCGGAGCGGCATGGGTCCTCCATTCGCATCCGATCCTCACAGATGGTACCTCGCACACACGCGCACACATACAGTAGGGCGCACACAGCTAGCAAGCTTCCAAGTAAGGTTTGATCTTCGGGTGGTTCGGGTATCTGCATAGGTATGCAGGTATGAACTTCTGCATGGATCTGTATGAGGCTTCAGACATATGCATAGAAACATACTGCTTCCCAACAGGGCGACCGTCCTCAGAATCGCTATGACGCTGCCACCTTCAACCCGAAATCCTACGTAAGCCGAACCCAAAACCCTGCAGGAGACCTAACCCACATCCCCTAAAGCGTCTGCGTGCGCTCTACACAAAAACGCCACACACCCAAAACTGTACTGCACATCCATGTAGGACCCGAGATTTCTATCAATAGTGCATGCACGGGCCTATCAGCCGCTATCTTTGGAATCTCCGGAACACTAGTGTCGGCACACAGACGAGTAGAACTGCTCGTGATCATCAAGACATGCTTCCATATCTTCAGAAAGCCTTAAACCTCGAAAACCCAAGCATTACATAAATCCTAAGCCCTAAACCCTGAATCCGAACCCAAGAGCCTTGAACCCCTAACAAAGCTCATAGCCCCAAACTACAACCCTAAACCCATAACCTATACCCTATATACCCTAAACCCAAATAGTACCTTCATAGACCCCTTTATAAGGAACCCCACGCTTCCAGTACGAAGCCTAAACCCTGAACCCAAAACCCCAAACCCCAAACCCAAAGTTGCTGTTAACTAAAGTAAGCTACTGTAGCAAGGGAACCCTACTTTTACTATACATCCCCATTTTGGTAACTTAAATTGAATTCCTTGACAGACCCTGAACCCTAAACCCTAAACCCTAAGCCCTAAGCCCTAAACCCTAAACCCTAAACCCTAAGCCCTAAACCCTAAACCCTAAACCCTAAACCCAAAAATCTCACCAGGCTACGGAGCGAGGCGAAGAAGAAAGTAAAGCGCTCCCGGACGACGGGATGGAGCGTGTTCAGGTAGACGGGGGCATCTGGATTCTTGTCCTCGTGGCGCTTACGGTTTAGGGTTTAGGGTTTAGGGTTTAGGGTTTAGGGTTTAGGGTTTAGGGTTGGGCTTTTCGTTTAAGGGCCCTTGCTTGTCCTTGGGGGCTTAGGGGATAAAAGTCTTTTTAGAGTTTAGAGATTCAGGGATTCGGGTTTAGGGATACGGTTTTTGCCCTCAGGCTCCGAGGTTTTGGGCTGTAGCTTACTCCCTCCACCCTGCAGCAGGCTACAGTAGGCGTCATAATAAGTGCATACGGGTGCATCTGGATTCCTGTCCTCGGGGCTTAGGGGTTTAGGGCGTGTTTTTTTCTTGGAGCGCCTTTTGCCATCTGCCCAAAGGTGGCTTTAGGGTTCAGGGTTTCGGGTTTGAGGATCCGGTTTTTGTCCTCAGGCTCAAAGGTTAGGGCTTCAGCGCATTTAGCACAGGGTTTTTGTGGCATACTATCTGGTTGTGATTGTATGAATGTATATGTATATATATATATATACAGATACATCTCGTGAAAGAATCCTGAAGTATCGTATGAAAATATATTCAGGATCTTATAGTAGGGTGTAGGATGTTTGGGGGGCCTTGTGCTTAGGCTAAAAGGTTCAGGGTTTGGGTTTAGGGTTTCAGGTTTCCGGTTTTGTTTGAGGCGTCTTTTCTGTCGCTTGCGGGGTTTAGGGTTGAGGCTAAACCCTAAACCCTAAACCCTAAACCCTAAACCGCTTCGATGGCTTAGGGTTTGGGGGTCTCAGTTTCAATCGCTTGGGGAACCCCTGGTTCGAAAGGGATGAGGTGTAGTTAGAAAAGGGTTTTGGGGGTTCCTTTAAAGCGTTCCTTCAAGGGTTCGAAAAGGGCTACAATAAGGGCTACTATAAGGCTTTAGGGTTTAGGCGCCTTTATAATTAGATTAGGGTTTTAGGAAGTTTGGGACTTCAGGTTCAAAGGCTTCGAGTTTTGTTTAGTTCGGGTTTAGGCCTAGGGTTCGAAGTCACCGGGCTCCTTACGCTGAAATAGACACTGAGGAGTCTTATGCTAAAAATCTAGGTGCGCCGCACCTGTAAAACTCCCACATGTCATATGAAGAAGTATGCACGACAGGTTTCTTGCTTTATTATAGGGGCCTAAATAATTACCTACAGTATTTTCGGGGTTCCGTATTATAATTATTGTATAATGGGCCCCCAAACCCTTAGAATTAAGGCCCCTACATTATTGGGTTCGACGTTGCGATCGAGGAAGCAAAACTCTGAAACCGTCAACGCCAAGCCTTAAATCCTAGAGACGACGGTATTCCTCAACTCCTACATCCCTAAACCCTAAACCCTAAACCCTGTATATCCGAGATTCCTAAACCCTAAACCCTGAACCCCAGATTCCTAGTTCCTAAACCGTAAACCCTAAATTCCTAGATTCCCAGACCCTAAAACGCTTGGGGTTTAGGGCTTGGGGTTTAGGGTTTTGGGGTTTAGGGATGCCGCGCCGAAAAGATAAGCCTGCGTAGAAAGCCTCAACAAACGAACGAATCAAAAGCCTAAGCCTTCGCCCGAAACCCTTCACCGAATACCTTAAACCCTAACAGCTCTAAATCGACGAGGACCTGGGATCATCACTTCAACCTTCTCCAACTATCAAGGCCCATGCATGGGGCATGGAAGGCAGATTCAGAGTGAGTATACTAAAGGAACATTACACGAATCATCAGAAGTAAAACTATTCCCCTATATAGTCCCCCATAAAACACTTATAAGGCACTCAGCAGTCAAGTTCCAACCCTGGACCTCATCACTTAATCTTTTAGCTACTATTGTTTAGGGTTTAGGGTTTTAGGGTTTAGGGTTGTCACCTAGCAGGCCAAAGGACGGAGTTGCTCTTGCTGGCCATCTGCATGAGCTGATCGGCCTCTCAACGAGAAATTTTCGGGCTGGGTGTTTAAGGCCTTTTGGCTCAAGTCCAAGGGGAGCTTAAACCCCATCCGTCAAGAAGGATACTCAGGGGATACGAATCTCAAGAATCTTAAGGCCTTTCCAGGTGTTCTGCCCTTTGTGTTTCCGACTATGACGCTGGATGCCAACGGCACGATGAAACCAAATGAATGGTCTGTTGACACAAGCTGTTGGTCCCAAACATCCCTAAACCCCAAGGCCTAACCGCAAACCAGAAATCCTAATTTTCAAACCCTAAACCCTGAACACTAAACCCTAATTTCCAAACCCTAAACCCTAATTCCCAAACCCTGAACCCCAAATGCCGATCTGCTTCGATAGCTCCTCCGAAAGGTCCGAAAGCTTGGCATACTCTGGGACTTGAATAGAGAAGGGACTTTGGGGTACGTTATAATTTGCAAAAAAAAATTCAGGAACCCTAAGCAATAATATTATGAACACTTCAGGTCTCTGTAGCACGTGCCGCTGAGTCAACAATTCTGCTGGCATGAGCTGCAGGAGATTTCGTCAGAAAACCCACGGTTCTCAAGCCTACCCAAAGGCATCATAGGCTCATACCCCACCCTTTTTCTAGGGTAGCTAGTTCTTTAGTTAGGATCTGTTACGAAAAGTCGGTCGGGTCTAGGGTAATTACCCCTAAACCCGGAGCATGGACCTTGACGCTTTTCAGGCTTCCAGTCTTTGATGCTTCCCCAACCACCGAAAAAAATCCAAAAAGTAGATCCCCTAATTTTGGGGGCCCTATTCTAAGAGGGTACTTTAAAGGAACCCCCCTGATGGGATCTATTTTTTTGGATCCTTCCGGTGGTCTTGGGTTTAAAACGCGCAGATGCGAAACCCAGATCAGCCCCAGACTCCCTGGTTGCAGGGTTTAGGGTTTAGGGTTTAGGGTTTGGGGTTCAGGTTTAGGGCTTTTTTGAGGGGCTTAGGGCCTAAGTTTAGGGTTTGGGGCTTAAGGTTTAGGACTTTTTTGGGGGTTTAGGGAACCCTAAACCCTAAACCCTGGACCCTAAACCCTAACCCTAAACCCTAAAACCCTACACCCTAAACCCTAAACCCTGAACCCTAAACCCTAGACCCTAGACCCTAACCCTAAACCCTCAACCCTAGAGTCTAGAACTTGAAACCAACAGAACTCTTTTGGCGGCCTCTTGGCTGCTGAGCACGTCTTCCTTCCAAAGACGATAGCCTCGGATAGGGTTGATGGTTTAGGGTTTAGGGTTTAGGGTCTAGGGTTTAGGGTTTAGGGTTGAGGATTTAGGGTTCAGGGTTGAAGGTTTCGCGTCACGAACTCCAGGAAGCCTGGAGGAATGGCAGTCGTAGGGTTCAGGGCTTCGGGCCTCAGGCGCTTGTCTCGTTACGAAGTGCTTCATCTTCCAAGTTTAGGGTTTAGGGTTTAGGGTTTCTTCCGGGTTTGCCTTGCTGCGGGATTCCATCTTCTTCTTTTTCAGCCTCCTGTAGGATGTATGACGAATCTCTGTTGGCCTTCGGATGGGGCATGATGGGGCTCTGGATGAGGTTTTCGCAGGGTTCTGTTCCGAGAAGATGGGAGCTTACGGGCTTAAGCTACAGGGTCAAGATTAGGCTTGGGGCGTGTCTGTGGGTTCTACAAACCCCGAACCCTAAACTGTAGACCCTAAACCCTGAACCGTGATCGAAAGGAGTGTGCCGGTGCATGGGGAATCGAAACTTGTTGCAGCGGCCGGGATCTCAGGACGTAACCTCAAGGTGCTAGGGTGTTACGGTCGGTTTATGTGATGGATAGATGTTGATACTTCAGGCTTTCTAGGTTGGGGCTCTTAATCTTACGGGTTTGAAGTTTGTGTGTTCAGCGCTAAAGGGTTCAGGGGTCAGTAGACTGGAGTGCTGGACAAGAAGGCTCGTGCTTAGCGTCGCGCCGTCTACGGTCTGCAGAAGACTTTCTATCGAGCATATTGAAAATTGTGCTGTCTCTTCCAGAGCCCTGAACCCTAAACCCTAAATAAAGACATTGAAAGCTAAGGCTTTAGAATTCCTGGGTCTCGGGTCGTAGGTCGTAGGCGCTACTTAGGGCTTCTGGGGCTGTCGGGCCCCAAAAGAAGTCCGATACGGCCTTGAGGGCACAGCACAGATTGAGCCGTACCTTCGGGCTCCCCCATGTATAGGTTCTGTCATACCCTATGGCATAATATGATAGTCCAGAATACTTACAACAGAATATGATATAATGTACTGCTGAGGGGGGTTTAGGGTTTACCTGTTCCCCAAATCCTACGAAATGGTAGGGTAGCATCGGGAAAAGCCCTGAAAACAGTAGGATGTTAGATCCACGTCGAGTTTGGGATCTATGTGCTTAGAGTTCGCTACAACCTAGCCCCGAACCCTGCAGATACCTACTATAGAGAAGGACCCCCAAAAGGCTCTATATAGTAGGCACCTGGAGGGTTAGGGAAGCCCTACCTTAAGAACCCAGAACCCACTTTTTTGTAGGTTCTTATTATGAACCCTAATATGGGATTCGTGGGGACCCTACAAAAAAGTAGGTTTGGGGCTCTTAAAGTAAACCCTGAAACCTCCGAGCCCTCTGCCCCGAGGGCCTGGAGAACCCGAGCCTCCGGCAGATGAGATTCCACGTGTGGCGCCAGCCGTTGCCAAAGACACGCCTCAAGGGTTCAGGGTTCAGGGTTTAGGGTTTAGGGTTTCGGGATCGCCAGTTTGAGGTTCTGCGTTGCGGTTGAGGGCTAAGTTTAGGGTTTACGGTTACGGTTGAGGGTTTCGGTTTTTTTGTAACTTTAGGGTTTAGGGTTCAGGGTTACGGTTGAGGGTTTAGGGTTTAGGGCATTGTGAAAGATCTTCTGCTTGGTGGTATTCAGAAGCCAGGGTCCTCACGACTCCAGCGTGCATCCAAATTTGGAGAAGTACTATAGAAGCCTTAGTAAGCAGAACAGGGTTTTGGGGTATTTTTCTATAGTTCTTTATTAAGGAACCCCAAAATAGTATTGGTAATTATTAAGGCCCCTATAGTACCCAGAAAACGGCAACACGGCACAGCAACAGAGACTCGCCCAACCCTCGCGCAAGCCAGAGAAGGACATTATACGGCCACAAGCGCCGAAGCCCCAAACCCTAAGAACATACTGGTAGAGTCTCGAAACCCTTGAAACCCTCAACCCTAAAACCCAACAGCTGCATAGCCTGAAAACCCTAAGCCCTAAACCCTGAACCTCAAGAACTAAACCCTAAACCCCAAGCCCTAAGCCCTCAACCCTAAACCGTAAAACCTAAAGCGCTGAAAGCCAGGGATCTGCATGAGCTTCCCAGCTCGAGGGTTGTTCTCCTGGGGCGACCAAGGAATCCAGCTAAAGCAACCCACGGGTTTAGGGTTTAAGGTTTAGGGTTTAGGGTTAAGGTTTAGGGTTTAGGGTTAAGGTTTAGGGTTTAAGGTTTAGGGTTTATATAGGGTTTAGGGTTAGGGTTAAACCGAAAGCCCAAAACCCATAACCCTAACGACCCTACACCGTAAACCCTGAACCCTAAAAGCCCCTAAACCCTATAAGCCCTAAACCTCAAGAGTGCAGAATCTGATTCAAGACCGGTTCAGGAACTCCGACTTCAGGGTTCATTTAGGGTTTATGGGTTTGGGGGTTTAGGGGTTTAGGGGTTTTGGGGTTTTGGGGTTTAGGGGTTTAGGGGTTTAGGGTTTAGGGTTTAGGGTTCAGGGGTTGGCTCTTCTCAGGGTGATGTCTTGTGTTAACAGGAGCTCCGGCATCTTTCGCATCTCCGGCACAAGCTGATGTGCAACATAAGGGCCGCTAAAAGGGTACCACAAGGGTTCCTTGAAGTGTTCCATAAGGCAATTTTTGGGGGTAGTATAGTTTGGGGACCTCAGCGATGAGCAGAGGGTTTTGGAAATATAATTATGTGAGGACGAGGCACTTATACCAGAGGTGATACAGACATGGGCTGCCTTCCCGTTTCTGGTGCTTTCGTGCTGGGGCCTCAAAAATGCAGACCCAATGGAATTTTGATCTGAAGATTTAAGGTTTAGGGTTTAGGGTCAGGGGCCGCCTACCCTGAACCCTACCCTAAACCCTAAACCATCATGAACCCGAATGCCCCGAATCTTGAAGCCTCTACTACTCGATCCCAAACCCTTAAGAGTGGTCTCAAGCTTCTCCAGCCTACGCGGCACGGGGATTCAGAGCCTGTGCCCTCCTAAAACTCAGACCCTCAACCCCAAGCCAAACCTGAAGCCCTAAACCCTAAACCCTAAACCCCCAAACCCTGTAAGCCCTATAAGCCCTAAAGAACCCTAATACCCCGAGCCCAAAAAGTCCCAAACCTTGGTTGCGAAACAAGTCTCCCCCACACCCAGGTCGGAGTCGGAAAGGAAGACGGCAGAGTCACCCGCCTGGGTTAGGAGCTCGCTTTAGGCGTTCTTTCCTAAGAGGCTTGTAAGTTCTGCACGGTTTTCAGGAACTTATGTAAGTCAAGATACCATACTATGGACAACTGCTTATATATTACATCTCCATTATGGTCACTTACGTTAAGTTGATGGAATCGAACGGAATTCAGGATTGTGGGTTTAGGATTTAGGGCTTGTGCGCTTGGGTTTAGAGCTTGAGGGAGGGTTGGGGTCTTCTGAGTTTCAGTGCGGGGCTACGCCGGCTACGCTGTGGATGTTGTGGAGTCAGGGGGCATAGGGAAGATAGCCGCGAATTACACGCCCACAACCCGGCTTCAACTGCATCCTAAGAGGGTGCCGAACCAACTGTACTACAAGGTTTCTAAAAATGTTCCGCAAGGCGGATTCTGTAGGGCTTCAGGATTCCCTAACGCCCCGACCCACGGCTGGCTGTCCGCGCCTTCCGCATGCCATTGAGACCGCGCTGAGTGCCCAAGACGATACCAATCTAAGCAGAGCTTCCGGGTCGGGATCCGGGTTTAGGGTTTAGAGGGTTTAGGGTTTAGGGTTTAGGGCTTAGGGCTTAGGGCTAAGGGTTAGGATTGTTCGTCAGTCGGGTTACATAATGGCTAACTACTATACAGCTAGGGGGCTTGAAAGGCATGGAGTGGAGGGGTAAGGACGGCTAGGGGTTCTGGGCTTGAAGGTTTGGAAGCTTCGGGATTCGTTGGGATCTGATTATGTGCGTGCCTCTCTCTGTCTCCCTCTCTCTCTCTCTGTACAAGAAGGTAGGTTCATCTGTACATATAAACATGTGTGTATATATAATATCTGTGTATTTGTCTGTTCGGACTTCGGACAGCGAATATCAACAAGTCCAGTTTGAGACTTCACAAACAAGAAGCGGCAAGGGAAGGGTAAGGAACCCTAGAGCATAAGCCTCAACCCGCACGAAAACCTGAAAGCCTTAGAGCCTTGAGAACACAAAGAGCTCGTCCCTAGATATCTCCGACACAGTCGGATCGCAACCGAGCGGCGACAGAAGTGAAAAGCACGTGGCCCATGAAGACGTCGATTGCCATCATCGAGGACAACATGAAGTAGAGGATGAACATGCCTCGGGGAGGCTGTCGCAGGACAAAACAGCCACAGTTAGTTCTTGCTGAGATTCGCTAAACCTTAAACCCTAAATCCTAAACCCTAAGTTCAACAAGCCAAGCCACTTCCGTTGCAGGCCACGCACTCAGACTGCCTAGGCTGGCAGCGTTCGGTTGAGGTGTCCCTGCGTGATTACGATTAGGGTTTAGGGTTTAAGGTTTAGGGTTTATAGGGTTTAAGGTTTAGGATTGGAGCTTGGATTATACAGGGGGCTCAGTAACGAGAGGGTCTGGGGGGTGGTTATACAGAAGTGCTGCAAGAAGCCCCAGAAATAGCACCCTAAACCCTAAACCCAAAACCCTAAAAACCCTAAAACCCCTAAACCCCAAACCCTAAAAAGCGAACTGTTCAGGCCCCTAGGTTCGCCTGTCAGGGCGTTTGAAATGAGTTTTCGCTTTCGGGCTTGGGGGGTTTCTTGGTTTGCGGATTGAGGTTCAAGGAGTTTAGAGCTTTTTGGAGGATCTCTGTATGTATACTGTATACTATAGGCCCCATAGTAGTTCCATTTGGGGATTACCTTATAGGATTCTATATATGAACCCCAAAAAGGAACTACTTTGGGCCATGGGTATACTATAGGGCCTGCGTATTAACAACAATGGGTTTTGGGTTCGGGGCTTCGGGTTGGTTTGGGTGTAGATCATGCTGTAGCAGTCATAAGGAACCGATAGGAACACTATTCCTGACTATTCAGGCCCCTATATTGCTTCAACGATCAGGTCATTGTATGCACGGCTACAAATGCAGCAACCCGAATTAAAGGACTTATAGCTAGATAGAAACCCTTACAGTACCCTTACATAGAATCCTTACCGTGCCCTTCAGAGACCCCTTTATGGAACCCCTCGTGCACCCGAAAAGACCGCCGGAATCTTCGGCCCAGCCGCCAGGGCAGCGGATGACATCGACTCGCGCAGAGAGACTCGAAGCTCAAGCCCTGCCTGAGCTTGGGTTTAGGCTTTAGGGTTTAGGGTTTAGGGTTCAGGGTTCAGGGTTCAGGGTTTAGGGTTTAGGGTTTAGGGTTTAGGGTTCAGGGTTTAGGGTTTAGGTTGACTAAGGTTTAGGGTGTACGTAGGGCTTTATCATGTAACGTTCAGTGTTTCTTTTGCCTTCGCTTTCTTAGGTTTAGGTTTAGGTGTTTGTTGTTTTCTGTTTGTGTTTCTTTGTCGGAAGGGGTTGGGGGGTGGGGTTATGTGGGCCCTGTTAACTGCTCGGGGGCTTCTTTAGTTCAGGGCTTTGGGGCTTTATGCTCGAAGCCTGGCTTTCAACTTGCGGGAATCAACTCAAGGCCCAGCAGAAGTCGAGTGGCATGACGGGAAAGACCACGTAGACCTCGCCCAAGAAGCAGAACCTCAAGGCAGGCAAAGGTTTAGGGTTCAGAGTTTGCTTGGAATTTCGGGCTTTGAGTTTCTGGTTGAGAGGTTGACGGGATTACCGCAGGGTTTGGCAGAGTTCGGGACATTCTGGGTACGTTGGGGGAGGCCGGCAGGGCGCGGCGTGGATGGGAAAGGGGGGGGTAGGCGGAAAGGCTTGCAACAGCTCCCACCGCTCTCACCTATGTTGCCTGGTCCTCCAAGAAAGGCACTGATGCGGCAGTGGGAAACACTTGTACTCTAAAATGCAGTTTCTTGTTTATGAATTTGGGGCACAATCTCCGCCATCCAAAGAGGACCATACAGGAATGGCCTCGTGGCAGAGGTACCCCACCGTTGTCTCACCCTCGGTGAGGTTTCAGGTAGCTACGGGGCAATTGCCCTCTCATTGCTGAGGGAGGGTACGGCCGGACGCCATGCACTTTGAAAGTGCAGCCCTTCTGCCCGGCAAAGGCGGCAAAAAGTCGCGGCTCTTTGCCATGGACGGAGTGGGTTCCGGATGATGTCTGTTACAAGAGGGACTTGGGAAGCAACATCCTCACATCCCACAACTCCACACCCCTGCCTGAAACGCCCTAGAGCCCTTTGAAAACCGCTTAACCCATGCCCAAAAGCCCTAAAGGACCGAAACCGCAAAAAAAAAAAAACGCCAACAATCCTTTGCCCTAAACCCCAGACCCTAAACCCTAAATCCAGGGGAGCGGCAGCAATACCACAGTCCAGTAGGTTAGCCGCTTCCAGAAGGCTGCCGTAGCACCTCCCAAGGTCTTCCACGGGGCTTCTTCAAACAAGTGTTGCGGGGGTTAGGGTTTTGGGTTTGGGGATCCGTGAGGATTTTAGAAGCGCTTCTAAGCGTTCAAAAGGCTCTATCAACCTGTAATCTGGAGTTTTCGTAGCTTTGCGCAGCTTCAAGGCCCGTAATTTGCCTCGACTTGTTGGTAGGGCTGGGAGGGGGTTGGGAGAGATGCAGGGGTTTGGGCTGGAGGGGCGTTTTAAGCCGCAGCTCAGGCAAGTAAAAGGCACTGGGAGTAGCAAAAAATAGAACTCTAAGTATTAGGACAAGGTATGCAAGAACCCCTTAATTCCAAATGGGAGACCGCTAGGTTCAAGGAGCCCTTATCAACGCCATCATGCAGCACATGCGCGTAAACCTATGAAAACAAAACAACACGAAGAACAAACTAAACATTCTCAACACCACAAAAAAACAACAAACAAACAACAAAAACAAAACAAGCCCCCGTGCCTCTGAAGAAAAAGACTATCTGAAGCCCACAGACACCGCCATCCTCGAGAACTCTCCCTCCAAGCCTTCGCTGTCGAACTTGGGCTTTGGATCCTTCTCCTGGAACCACGAGATCTTCTTATTTGGTTGAGGGTTTACAACCTGGGGCCCAAGGTTTAGGTTTTGGGGTTGAGGCTTAAACCCTGAACCCTAAGGGTTTTGGGCTTACTTTTTTTTTAAAGTGTATCGGTCGTTGACTCAGTGAGCGAGCGTGCGGGATTGGGGTTTAGGGCGCATTAGTGTTCTCGACATTAGGGTTTAGGGTTTAGGTTTGCGTGCTATCAGGGCGCTGAAGATTTCGTGTTTAGAATCTCGGGTTCTGGTCCTTAGAGCCTTGAATTGAGAGTTTGGGTTCCGGCTTTAGCCGGGGTTTCCCGCTGCGATGAACCCTTTGGGGTTTAGGCTTTAGTGAGGTGTCAACGTTTAGCTTTGGAGCCTTTACCTTCAAAACTCTGGGCCTATGGTCGAGGGTTGTTTAAAGAACGTCGGGGGACGGTGGTGACGCTGCCAGGAACAATTGCATAGTGATTGCGCAGTCCCTCCAGTCGGACCATAGCTGCAGCAGCAGCAGTAGCAGTAGTAGCAGTAGTAGTAGTAGTAGTAGTAGTAGTAGTAGTCGTCGTAGTAGTAGTGGTAGTCGTCGTCGAAGGCGTCATCATCGGCGTGCCTCTGATGCGACTCTCTCATACTGTTCACCCACCTGAACCCCGCATCCTACACCTGGAACCCATGGGGCCACGGGGTTTCGGCCGGTTGGGTGTCGAAATAACTTGCTCAAGTGGGGCGTAAAAAGGGCCAGTGTTGGTCTCTGTCTGACGGCTTAGGAAAATCGGAAGATCGCAACCCGCAACTTACTTACACCTTCCCGGTTACCCGAACTCCGCCGAAACCGTATGAGTCCCGAAACCCCTCAGCCCGCAGCTTTCAACCCACAATTCCCCCCCCCAGCGTCACCGTCTTTCAAGGCCGAGTCTCGCTCTGGGGGAAAGGCGACAGTGACCGGAAGCATGGGAGTGGAAGGCAATTTCGAAGCCTCTGCAGGACTGGAGTACTAGGTTCCCCAGTAGCCCCTTAATAATAAGGGTACCCTTTTTCCTACTATTTGGTTTTAATAAGGGAACCCAAAAAGAAAAAGGGCAAAAGGGTACTACTGGGGATCCTAGAGTACATGGGGCATATTCCGTTTACTAACATCTAGACGAATCAAGACTCTATAGACCTAAGCTCTAGGTCCCACAGAATCCTTGTAGCCCCTAAACCAGCCAAAACTCGGGGGTTGGGGCCTAGCGCTCTTGAGTGTCGGCCTTCAATTGTTTCAGCTTTAGGGGTTGTGTAGAGATGCCAGAAAATGTCTAAGGCAGGGCGGCGTGGCACATGACTGAAGGATCAGTGCATGGGAAGGTACGGTCTTGCGGTATGATATGCTATATTAACACAAGGACTGCAGAGGTATAGCATTTCCACTCATCCAAACCCCAGGTTCAAACACTCAACTCGAAGATCCCAAGCAAACACTATAGAACCTGGGCTTGGGGTTTAGGGTTTAGGGTTTAGGGTTAGGGTTTAGGGTTTAGGGTTTCCCCCCCCCTCACAACAAATTGAACACTAAGACGATCTCAGCTCCAAGCAGAGTCAAGTAGACGGCCCGAAATCCAAGAAATCCAGGTGCGACGATTTGCTTCACCTCGCCGCTAAGTTTATGGCTCCGGGCCAGACGGCGTAAGGCCAAGTTTAGGGTTCTAGAGTGCTTGTTGCTGTTTCGCATACGAATGTTGAGGCAAAATAAACCCCAAACCCCAAACCCTGTTGGGGCAACATGGGTGTCAGGGGTCTCAAGAGCAGTCAGCAGATCGCGCGGAAAGGCGCCGATTGGAGTCTGCATTCGAGTTTAGGGTTTTGGGTTTAGGGGTACCCTGAACCGAGAATCTCTTAGTGAAGCAGTTAAGGCTTTGAACCCCGAAGCCCTTAAACACATAAGTCCTTCAAACCTAAACTCTTACCCCGTACACCCCTGAGCCTAAAAGCTCTAAACCCTAACCACTCAACCCCTGAACCCTAAACTCTCAAGTCCCGAAACCCTTGAGACCCTCAAACCGTTAAACCAACTTTAAGATTTCGGGTTTAGGGTTTAGGGCAAAACCAACTAAACCCTTGAACCCCTCAACGGTTTACCTCTAAACCCCTGAACCCAAGGAACTTCAGAGCTGGCATAGATTGAAAATATTGAACAGGTAACCTGCAGGTACGTACGTATACATATATATATATCTCTCTCTCTCTCTCTCGCTCTCTCTCTGCA